AGCAATTAGACACCAGAAAATCCTTGCCAAAGACCATATAAACGACATTGGAACTCTAAAATAGTCGAGCTTGAGAGCATGGCAATTGGTTTTTGCTTATAGAACTGATGTATGTATGGTTTTTTGTGCACTAGTGTGTTGGTAGTGAATAAATTTATTGGCGTGAATGTGCTTGTGTAAAGGGTCTTTGGCGGAATATAAGTATACACATCGACCGTCAATTAGGCTAGTTATATCATATGTGCATAGTTATATCATATATAATGCACCACCCTAACTGAGTGAATGATTGGGCTGGTGCAAAAATAATGCAGGTTTTGAAAAGTTATAACTATTTTTAATTCCTTAATTTCGTGGTCCGCTTGACCAATTAATATATTACAATTAATTAAGGTTTTTAGTTGAGATAAAACAGTCAATGGCACGAGCGGGATTCGAACCCACGATCTTCGGCTAGATACGCCGCTGCTCTACCACTTGAGGAAAGGAGGGAAAACTCAAAAATGTGGGGTTGAGATAGGAAGTTGTATCCGAGTGGATCGAGGTCACGATAGCTCAAATGGTAGAGCAGCAGCGTATCTAGCCGAAGATCGTAGGTTCGAATCCCGCTCGTGCCATCGACTTTTTTATCTCAACTAAAAACCTTAATTAATTGTACTATTTTTAATTTTTATGAAATAAAGAAAATTTATTCGAAATATTGGCCATCACAATCTATACATCTTTGCCAACGTGTAATAAGCGCTTTTATTCCGCTGACAAAAAAATCTTTGCTTGGACAATAAACACAATAAAATGTTGGATGGCGTTTCGGAAATGTTTCATATCCTAAGTCCCTAAGTTTCCGCAGGGTTGGTATTGCGGCATTTGGCCTGGAGTTATCGTGAAGAAGAACAAGAATCCCTTACGATTTACCAATGCTGGACAAAGACATTGCAGTGTCCCGTGCAGTTTGTCAATTTCTTGGCAGTATTTCTCTGCTATGATAGTTTCACCATAATTCAGGACATTATAGTGATCAACCCCAACAGTACATGAGCGAACGGTCACCATAAAACTTTTTGGGAGCAGATTTGGTTTAGGGAAGTGTTTTGGCGCTTCATCCTTGTACAACCATGGACCTGTACGCCTCATGTAATGTACAGAATCCATTTCTCACCTGACGTGATGATTCGATTAAGAAATGGATCGCTTTGGTGGTGCAACGGAATGGACGTGCAAATTTCAAAGCGTCGATTTCTTTGGGCTTCGGCTAGTTCGTGCGGTACCCACTTGTCGAGCTTCTTAACTTTATCAATTTGCTGCCGATGGCGAACAACGGTTGAGTAGTCAACACGAAGCTCTTCCGTAATTTCCCGTGTTGTTTTACGTGAAGTTTCTTCAACCGACGTTTTGAGTCGGTCGTCGTCTACAACGGAAGTCCTACTCTGTCTTCGAGATCGAAATCTCAAGACGAAATCTCTGAAACCATCGCTGTACAGTGCATTCCTTTCCTCGAACTGTGCGGTTTGGGCCGCACTTCGCGTTTAAATTCGGACATATTTAATTTCGCAGGTCCTCACTCTTATAAAATTCAATATAAACTAAAATGTTTTGTACAAAAGGTAATAGTTAAAATTATTTTTTTATAATCCATAAATTAGATGTGAGGATTTAGCTTCATTTACATGACAAGCACCTGCGAAAATAAAACAAATTTTCAAAAATCTGCATTAATTTTGCACCACCCCAATTAAGAAAGAATGCATTTAAGAGAGAGTGAGAGTGTGAATGGGTTTGGTTTGCGTTGTGGGCTGAAATGACCTTGCTGTAAGCCCATGGAGCACAACTTTGGTGGCTAAACAGACCGGGTCTGATCAAGACTTCCCACACCCGGAGTGGGTGATTGTCGAGCCCTGCCGGTAATTTATTCGAAATTACAAGAGTTGGTTGTTGCAGATTTGAGCTTATGTAAATCAGTAATATTAAGGTTTTAATTTTTGAAAGCTGAGAAAAGGAAAAGGAAGTTGTACAAAAATAAATCACACAGAATGAAACAGAACATTGCCTTTGCTTTATTCACATCAATACATATCAGTTCTCCCATGTTTAAAATCTCTATTCAAGAACAAAAATGACCATTTTGACAATATTATTATTATTACTATTGAAATGTTAAAAGGTTTTTGTTGTCCCTTCTCATCAGTAAACATTTTATTAAATTGTAATCTGGATTTATTAAAGCTTAATTTCCCAGTGGATCGACTCCTGCATATCATTGTATTTACAATTGTTTTTTTTTTTAATTCATTCGTACATTGTTTAGACGGAAGACGAAAAGGCTCCCCAAGGTGAATCTTATGCATTCAACTAGATCGAATAGTACGTACATACTACATGGGAAGCTATCTCGAACCCGTCTACAAATACATTATTATAATCTATTATTATATTTCTTCTTATTTAAACACTTCAATATATTTTTTTACATTATTATTTTGAGAAAATGCAACCTATTCTATTTTTGTGTATTGAAGTGTATTTCTTGGCTTAAGATTTTTCAATATGTAATAATAATTTTTTAAAAAACATCTAATACATCGTCATACAGACCATACCTATTCCCTTCCCTTACACATGAAACACCCAGCTATGACCAGCAAATAAAAAATTAAATAGAAAAACTAAAGTCAAATAAATAAATTAAAACAAAGAAAAGAGACGATCACACTTAAGTAACTTATTAACACGAGAATTATCACAGATTCCCGATTCGATTCTTACTAGTCACTTTTGTTTCTCTCTTTCCCATCTTTTTTGTGTCCGGTCAACTCAGGAAAACTAAACTTAATTAGACTAGATCAATTCCCATCAACAGCGTTGGTTCCACGCCCCTATATTATTATTTTAAAAGTTTATGTCATTCCAATATACGTCTTTTCTGTTTTGTATTTTATATTTCGACTTAAAATTATTAATTATTCTCACTTAAATATTGCGTGTGTGTACATACACACACATATATATTACATAATATATATATTTATTTATAGATTATCATGTTCATTTTTTGTTTTTGTTTTACAGACATGGATTCAAACATCACGCAAACTTTCACACTCTTTTAAAAACTCCAATGTCAAACTTGCCTCGTTTATTTTTTTAATATATGAATATTTTTTTAATGTTGTTGACATTTTCTTTATTTAAGTTTATTTAAATTGACATAAACCGGGCCTCGGTGTTCCGTTAAAAAATTTGAGCACCCGGAAAACCAAAGGTTAAAAATCCACTTTATGTACATTTCGAAAATTTACAATTTTCCTCGAGCTGGTGACTTCAGCGCAGTCAGCATTCGATTTGCAGTCAGAACGGAAACGACAGGCAAATTGGAAAATGCCATTTCATAAACCTTTTGTACTTTTTACGTATTTTAAGACAAAAAAAATTAAATTTGTAACTAATATACTGATTTTGCAGGTGAGGTGGTTTCGGCCAGTCGAATAAAAGCAATCTGGCTCACATTTCCAATTAGAATGCTGAGAGATGCAGATTTGTTTTTATATAAGTGAAAGTAAGAAATGAAACGGGGAAGAATTGACTCTGGTTTTTTAAGTTTTTACTGAAGTTTAATTAGGCTTAACTCTTTTTAAAGGGGACCAGTGTGCCATTTATGTTTACTTTGCAGGGGGTCTGGAATTAAATCTTAGCCTAAGCTTGGGAAATTTAAGTAGGAACAATTTCCGTGCCCTTCCCCGAAGTTAAAGCCAGATTTAGGACTAGAGGCTTGTAGACCGTGCCAAAATAAAAATTGATTCACCTTTTTACAGCAGGAAGTAGTATTATAACATAAGAAAATGTAATTATATCATATTATTTTAATCATTTTTATTATATTAAAATGTTATATTTAAACTAGGTTTTTACTTGTGTTATTTTATGTACGTACTGACGTAAAATTAATAATTAATATTAACTTTTTGTTTAAAGACATTTGTAAAAGGAGATAGTTAAATTGTGCGAGTGGAAAAACTTTAGGTGGTTTTTCTTTTAAAATTCACTGATTTTCACACACATGTATATTATAAATTGAGAAATTAATGCTTAACGCTCACCTGCTGAATTAGGTTAAGTATATACGAGAAAAATGTTTTAAAATATATTTGAGTAGAATGAATATTTTAAAATTTATTGTTTTTTTTTGTCGACCCGTAAGCTTCGTCTACTTATTCTGGTCCAATTTACGACTAAAGTTTACTTCAGACTAATGAACAATGTAAATCTAATGATTACGATATAATTTGGTATTAAAAGGTACCCATGTCTTGTTAGGGTTTCACCTTGAAAATCTTATTTTTTTAAAAGTATTTTTTACATTTTGTAAAACGTTTTCAAAACATTAAAAAAACAATATCAACATTAACAGGTGTGAGGTGGGAAAACAAGGACAGAAAACGATACAGTTCATGAAAAATAAAAGGAGTTTTTTGTTTTAAATATTCTATAGTTTTATCACGTGATTTTATCGACGAGATAGGCATTTTCTGTGAATATGAATTTAATTTTGCATATCTATATCGTTCTTTATAACACGTCAGAATTAAATTTCCTTCGTTAGTTTAAAACGATCTTTGTTCACAAACTCCAAAGAAAATAATTAGCCAAACCATACGCGCACATCCTTCTTGACACACACTCACAATTTTTTTTAAAATTCAGATTCTTAAAATTTTTGAGCCCCTTTCTAGGGGGATAAATGTTCCCCCTTAACGCCTATTCACGTCATTAAATAGTTTTTTAAAACTCGTATCATTGACATTATATACTTTCAGTGATACAACTGTTCAACTGGCTGTACAACCCCTAAATATGGATCGTTCTGAAAACAATTCCACATATTTTGACTGATGATAAAACTCTAATTACAGTGAGCCATTGTTTTACTTTCTAATTTTTTGAACGCCTTAAGACCCTTTTTAAATACTTAATTTTAATATCATTTTAATTAAATTGTTTGTATATATATTTTCTCTTTATATTTATATATATATATTTTCCGCTCACATTTTTCTATTTACAATCGAATAAATACTTTTTCTACAATTAATAGTATTCCTGTACTAAGTTTCCTCGTATAGGAAAGTAGTTACCAATTGAAATTTTACAATTAAAGATCTCTTGTTTGATTTGTTAAATATATATATTTTATAATTTGATTTAGTTATAGTTGTGGAAAAACTCTCGATATTTCTTTACCACTCACCATACAACTCATTCACGCAAATAAATATGTTAATAAAAAATAAATTTTACCCCATCCCAATTGTGACTTAGGCAAGTGTACATATCGAGCAGAATCATCCGGCCGTGCCGTTATAAATGTTTTAAATTTTAAATTTGAGCTGATTCCGCTGCTCCCCTTAGCGGTGCTGATTCTGCAAGGAATGCTGATCCGACCTCTTCTGCCGTCCGAGGGTCCTCGTGTTGTTCTCCACTTGAGCAGACGGCTTGCTCTTCCTCGGCAACGTGGACGCCTCAGTAATGTCTCTTGGTTTCCAAACTGGCGAGCCTAAAAAAATAAAATTTTCGTTTTTCAGTTTCCTTGTCAATACAATAAAGGGGTGAACAGAGAAGAGGATTTGCGGTGCTTAATAAGAAAGTGATTTGCATTTTGAAACATCGAGGGAGGAATTTAGTTTTACATGCCCGTCAGTTGTGGGAAACCAAAAGACATTTAAACTGTCCATGGGGGTGCGAGTCGAGCAGTCCTGGGATTTTCTCCCTTTGCATTCTCTCTTTTATTTGTGTCTTAGCTAATTGTCTTATTGTTTCTCAGATGAGCGTAGTCTCTGTGTCAGACTAAAAGCTCATCTCGAGCGAATGTCATTTTGACAGTCTTGGCTGAAGGCAGTGGGCGCAGATGTTACCTAAGTCGGACGCTGCCGGAGGCTGGTAGTTGGAAGGCTGCTGGGAAGACTGTATAAGCCTCGCTTGTGATCCCGTCGAACCTGCAGAAAGAGTCGAAGTCGTACTCAGAGTCAAGTGGTTCGGCGTCCTTCCTAAGCCGGAACCCGCCTGCTGACGACCCTTACTACACCCTGCCCCCATGAATTCTTCCTCCCCTTCCGATTTCGTTCCGGGGTCACATTCGTGTCTACCTTTCTCGTTTACAGCATCTGAAATTGAAATTGACTCATTAAAATGGTTATAATAAAGTAAAGTAATTCCTGTCATACAAGAAGCTTAAAGACTAATGGCCAGACCACTTTAATCCTTAAAGATTAAGGGTTAGCGTGTCTAAGGAGGAAATCATATATTTTAACGACTCGGCCAACACAGTCACAATTAAAATGGATATTTAAAGGGCCGAATTACACCCTGGAAAAACCCTTTGTTATGATTGCAACTACCTCCCAGGTTGAGGTCCACTCAGGAATTGATAAAGAAGAAAATGAAAGGCGCACGGATCTACTTATTTTCCTACTGTCGGACACCTTAAAGGCACTAAATACGTATGGTATTAGGTTCAAACTAGTCTGCGAATACCTAAATGGTCCTAGGAAAACACAACAAGGTTACCTTGAGGGAAAAGCTATAGAAAGCATAGAACTGGTTGACCATTTATCCTCAAAAATGACAGCCCTTTCACCAAACTGAACGGACCACACCACGTACAGGAGGGTTTAGGAAAGTTAGAGCTGGAAAAATGGCTTGAGAAAGAAAAACCTAAAGCACTTGGGAAAACGCGCACTTCCCACTGTATGGTCATAGGTATTTCACAATAGACCTATATACTTAGCAATGGATAAAAGGATGGAATTAGCACTTAATACTTCCTCCTCTTCCAAAAATAATCTCTTTTTGTATTAAGAAATAGTTTGGCCGTTTCCTTTCTTCAGTGATGGGTCGGGTTAAAAGCAGGGTGAGGCAGTACCACAGACCCATCACTTAATAAGACAAGAAACCGAAACTCTTCTGATAGGCAAAATAACTTGGATCGGCGAATAAAAATAATAGGAAACGACCAACCTAATCGAAAAATTAAGACCGCCTCGCCCTCACAAAAAATTATATTACGGTATTTGTTTTGTTGCTTTACTGTTTTGTTGCATTATTTTGACAATAATATCTCAGTGTTTACATTTTTACATTATTAAAGCTATATGTTCGTAAATGTAATATAATTTGTTGAAAAGTGAACTAATAAAATAATATATCTAAAATGCATAAAACAATAGTTAAATAAGATATACTATCATGTTTTGAACATTTATCAGCAATTTGACCATTGCTCGTCATATTAACCCTAACTAAACCGTTCAGGCATCCACTGAATAAAAACACACAACGAGGCTAGTTGAACATAAAAAATTAAAATCCTAGCAAAAGTGTCTCGCAACTCTTCTGGCTGTTTTACTTCTTATGTAAAACAACAATAAAAAATGTGAGATTTCCTTCTGTGGTTTTTAATTTGACCTGTAATTTGATCGTTACAGATTAATTTGGCCTGCCAATCCTCTCTGGGCTGGTCTGCCAGACGCGTTTTGCATTTCGCCATCTTCAGTGTGTCTGTCTTTATCGTCCTGAAAATCATAGCCGTTCTTTTCTTTGAACAATATGAGATGGGTAAAAAGCTTTAGTTTGAAGGGACCTCTCGTATACCACTCCTTGTCAATAACTAGGCTCATGTCTAAGAATTACTCTTCGTTCTCTCAAGCAGTGAATATCATGTTAAAAACCAACCGTCGAATCGAGGAATGACGAGGACGGGATGAGAAGGAATGATAGCATAATGCGTTTTAAAATGAGGAAAAACGCTTGCTAGATTTATTATCGAGAGAAATCTATCTTTCAGAAGAACAGGTCCTCAAAAAATTACGGTTCAACCTATCCTCTTTAAATATATATCATTTAGAACAAAATTTGATGTAATTAGATGTGCTCATAAGCTTAAAGGGTCTCGTATTAATATTTAGGAACATTTTTATCCCTATATACGTACTGTTAAGTAACAGAAACAAACAAGAAAACCAAGCTAATATATGATAATCTATTGATTGATGGAAAAACAATTCTCCGGACTTTAAAAAAAGCTGCTTACAGAGTGTTAAGGAAGGGAATTAGCCTAAAGTGACCCCTATTCGTAAAAAGCTCAAGAAGCGTTACCATCAGAATAAATATCTGTGTTAACTGACTGGAAAAATAAGGATCAGCCAAGATCGACTAAGGGGAACCAGAGCTATGGAACTATAACCTATAAATTCCATCCTATAACCTAATCCCGACAAGAGGGCAATAGGAAGACGAATTTTCTAAATTATATATAAATAAAATCAATAAAAGAAAATGATCGACTTTAAAATTATAACGCTCTTTTAATTGTCTACAAATGTTAAAAATTTGAGATTTCTCCGTTCATACACATTGTAGATGGTGAAATGCCGAAAACCGCCTGACAGACCGACCCAGAGTGGATAGGCAGACACGGTAAGGATCAAATTACAGTTTTACTGAATATACTCTGATTTATTGTTACCAACGAATGTAGAAAGTAAAAAGTTGTTAAGAATTTTTAAACGTAGAGAATGAGTCATCTTTCTAATTCAAGCTAAACGAAATCGTTAGCACGCAAAGACATTTGCATACAACTATTAACAAGATGAACAGACGTCAATACTTCAGAAGGTTTTCCTACATATCAAATTGGGCCAAAAAATCCCCGTTGTCCAAAGTTTGATTCTACATCGTAATCGAGGTATTTCGTTTTTCAGGTTACCTTAACCTTGTACAACTTTTTTCCATTAAGTCCCGCGCATCTCACAAAACATTTACCTTATTGTAATTTGATTATACCAATAGAAAGAGCATTGAAAAACCCATGGGAGTGATTTTTAAATCGTAATCTTGAAAAAACAAAAAGCTTCAAAAAATTAAACTTCACATATCCACCTTTTTGAAAAACGCAAGCCTAAAATCATTTATTTTTGGAAACTTTTTGTTTTTCCTTATGTACAATTTTGTTCCACAGTCTTTTTTTTTAGTTTTTGTTACTTGAATTATTTTTAATGGGAGTTTTAAAATCTTGAATACTAATATTTTGATTCCGTTTGTAACCGAAAAATCAAAATTTTAGCTATTAAACGTTAATTTTACATTGGTGATAACTGCTGTTTGAAAAATTGAATACAAGTGTGTGAGGCCAGTGTAGTAAAGGCAACTTTTCTTAGACAGGAACTTCGGATGCTCGTATAAGTTGATCTTCTAAAGGTTCATTGCATCAATGACGTTTTAAGTTCACTGAAGCCTCGTATTTAATTTGAACCAAGTTCCGAGAAGGAAGCGTTGCACCTTGTGTAGGGGACCACCGTTATACTAAACCTAGTTCACTTCAAGTTGGTAGGACTGAGCGTAGTCTCTTTTACGATTATAGCTAGTCATCTAGTTATTGTTTGTTGTACTTTTCATAGGATTTTTAGTATAAAATATTTTTAAATTTGATTGTACTTAGTTTTCTTTCGTCGGAGAAAATTTTATTCACATTCTATCTAATATTAAAAAGACGGTGAGAACCATCAGCAAGAAGAAAGTTGAATCGTGACAACACCTGTTTAACAACATGAGGTTATATTATTATATTATGAAATGGACGTCTTTCAACTCCGATGAACTAGGATCGTCGTTTGAACTCGGTTCAAGACAAACTGAAAAACGCCAATGTTTGAGTTGATCTCGGTTCAGTACTGAACTGAGTTTAAACCAAGCTGCAACGGGTCCTAAGTGATTTTGTATTTGGCTTGCTTACGGTATATACCAAAACAAATAAATCCCATAGAATTCTCAATTCTCTTTCCATTGGTGAGATCAAATTTACGGTTGGAATACAATTTTATAAGCTACGAGAGACTTTATGGAATAAAGCGTGATAAGTTGAATTAACCTGAAAAGTAAAATATCTCGATTACAATTGAGCATCAGACTGAACAATAGGGATTTTTAGTACAATTTGACATGTAGTATTGACCTCTGTTCAAAGGGCACCCTGTATATAAATCTAACCTGTGATTGCCCATAAAACCTAATGGCTGGCCATAATTACATTATCAAATTAAATGGAATTATTTAATCTATCTGAACATTTAATCACTACCTAACAATATTTCATTTAAAATTTAAATAAACGAGTTATTTCGTAATCAATTATAATCGTGCAAGCATGACCGACAATAGAATACAATTATGCATCTATAAACAAAAAATGTGTATTGATTTCATTGTTTATACTTTATTGATCATAATGACGTTCAAACTATTTTCTTGGATCGTGAAATGAGATAATCTCGACATAACAGTTTGAGTGAAAATATATGTATTTCAAGAAGCACCTGTAGCGTCTGATACGGTTTTGCTTCGGCCTCGGAAGGACGACGAAGGAGGATGTGGTCCTTCAATCGAACTCTCCCTGCTGTCAGTGAGATTGTCATAATCTATGTTGCCGGCTGAATGTCTCTGCGGTCCTTTCGGCGGTTTCTTGGCTTTGCCCAACGTCTGGGATCCCTGTATCACAGCACCGCTTTTAGTCGTGTTTTGGTTGTCGTTCGACCCAGAGGTTGAAGCTGTCGTGCCCTTTTGGCCTGAAACAAACACGAATCGTGAGTCTATCACCTCTTTGTTCGACCTGGTCAATTTACTTTGAGTCTGCCTGCCTAAAGTAGCAGTACCCGAAAATTGAGGATGAGGTAAGCCGGTCGCCGGCTTCGTCTGCGGGATGCTCATATTCCTAACTGACTCCCTTATTATTTGCCTGATTGTTTTCAAGAAAGCATTCCTGAACTCGCCAGTGCTGTGAAGTATTAACGAAATAATTAATATTTGCTTGAAAAAGGTCGTAATCAGGGAATTTACCTGTTCGACAAGACGTAAACTTTTTCGGATCTTCTTTGCAATTGGTTTCGCAAGTGGATCAACTCCCATAAGAAATGGGAATCCATATCTTTTGCTGAACTTGCCCTTACTTGTACTTCAGTCACCGGTATTAATACTTGATAACGGATTATCTCTACTTCGTTTTCCTTTCCTTTGCTAGCCACACTCTGGAATGAATAAAATTATTAATTTATATATTAAAAAAAACCTATGCTTTCAGATATTTATGACTGGTAATACAACAGCTAGAAACCCTTTCTAAAATATTTGTGTATTTTGATTAAATTAAATTAATAAAATTTATTGTAAATTAATCGTTTGAACTTAGTAAAAATTTACTTTTACTCTTTAGTATATAAATACAGCCGTTCGAATCCCGCTCATGACAGTAACTTTTTCATCTCAACCAAGACTTTAAGTAAAAAGTATAATTAGTTGCAATAATTAAATAGGTCAATTATGACCGCTAAACACTAAGGATCGAATACAGTTAAATAAACATAAAGTGCCGAAATAGAAGATTTTTACGATTTTTTTCCTGTTGATTTACTCACCGGACATATAAACAATCGTTATGTCCGGCTGGATAAGGAACGGGTTTGTGAACTGGACATTGGGATACCATTTTTTCCAATTCGAAAGTGAAAGAAGGGGAAAGGGAAGGAAATGCAATATAAACAGATCCGGAAAGAGTTGCAGTGGCGCCGAATTAATTTCATTCGAAAAGACAAAGCACAAGGTTCGCTCCAAACATCGGTTTTCATGAATTATTTATTTTTCTACGTGCCCTCGTTTTTGTTTTTGTCCTAAAAGGCACGTTTCCGAAGCGTTGCGGTCGATTTGAGGAGAAAGGATGCTCCATTATTCAACGCAAAACGTGAGAAAGAAAATTGTGTAATCCGATAACGGATCCTTTTAAAATACCTACCATGAGTTTCTTTTTTTGCCTTACTCGCTCCTTGCACAGAAAAACGACTGCGGACTTAAAAACAAAGCACATGGCGTGCAGTTCAAGTCCTTTTTTAATTTTCCCTAGGAAGTCTGAAATGTTCAACCATTCCACGCCTCCGTAGTATAGAAGATCGCCAGGACTAAGATCAATAGGCTAAAATTGAAAAAAAAGTATTAAAATTTCGACAAATTTAATCAAATATGAATAACATGTTTACCTGTTTACACGACTTCTGATGTTGTCGGTACAAATGGTCAAAAATAGCACCGTACTCTTCATGGATCCTTTGCATTTCGTTTATATGCTCTGCCACCTTCTCCATGCCCTTTAGAGCCTCTGAAATAGTATTTATCACTCAAGATCATATTCAAAAATATTTCGACGTTTATTAAGTTATAATTTATTTTCATTACCGACTAAATGCAAATGCTGATCCGATTGAGGGTCAGTCAAGTTTCTAAGCTGTTGAAGCAGCAGCGGGTATTTCAGAATCCTCTGGATTGGTTTGATGAGATATGATTCAAGAGTCGATGAGTGCTGTTGTCGTGGGTTCCTCGAGGACAAAAACTCTTGTAACACTTGATTCCCTTCATCTGAAAAGTTAAAAAAATTAAATACTTTGTTAAATTTGCAATACATTACAACTACCTTCTCGGCAGTTATTTACATTTACTCGGTTACATTCGGTAAAAAGTATCAATGAAGAAGGAAATATTTATGCAATTAAAATCAAGATGTAGAAACTACTCATGGCAATATTCCAATATACAGATGTTGGAATGTTGTCTATTTAATACAGTTTATCACTGTCACTGTAACGGCATATGTGCTCCTGCGGCTATTGGCTCTTCAGTCGGCGAAAAAGGTTTGAGGGAATCCTTCGGAAATATAATTTCTGGATTTGGGGGTATGTTTGATCAAAAGCTTTTTGAGCAAAAATAAAATTGAGCATCAAGGTTATTTCTAAATGTTAAGGATTGTGCAGTTTGAATTCGACGGACATTAGGATAGTCTGGCTTAACACCACATTTCTAGTCCGTTAGTCCATATGTGCTTCAAAAAGATATTATAATGAAGACTTTGGTAAGCCAGACCGTTTATCATGTCATGGAAGAGGCCTATATCTTGCCATAACCTCTGACGGTTTACTCGTGTGTGAGAATTCGACTTCAAGTTTGTTAATGTACAGTCCTAGGCACCTTTTCAGCAGTTGGGAGGAAATTTTTGAAGTATGGACAAGGTATCTTTGAATGCATACTAAAAAGACCAAAAGCTGGGTACAGATAACCTGACATTATTTGGGAGTCAAGGCGCACAAGAAAACTGTGTAATGAACAAGTAAGTAAACCGGCCTGAGTAGAATCTGCAAGATATACAGACCCAGAAACTTAATTTAGATAACAAGATCAAACCTAAAATCCTTTATCTCAGAATGAGTTCACAAAAAATAAAATATTGAAGTGGGCGGTTTCCAGAGGCACCAGCCATAAAAAGATCATGATTAAAGAACCCCAATAATACATAACTACAGTTTGACAGGGTAAAACTGAGGGATGGGGGTGCTGTATACCGGCCACTGGCATCATACATATATATTTATCTGTAGATTAAAAATGAGGAGGAAGAAACAGCCACCCGTATTTTTTCGAATGCGAAACAACTGCTCAATAGAGACATAACCTAGGGTACTAAGAAGTTTCATCCTTCTAATTATGAAAAGAAGGATTGTGTCAACTGAACTGAACTAAGGGACCAGGATCAATACAAAAGTACTTGGGCTATACCTAAAGTTCGTTCCGTAGCATCTTTCTCATCAGTATCATCAGAAAAGGTCAAGATGGTGGTTTGAAAATAGGAAAAACCGTTTAGTAAGGGAGATATTAGGTAGACGGGAGGATATCCTGGACCATGAACAACATGCTTGGGTGTCCAACAAAAGCTTCGCTAAAGTTAGGTAAAAATTCCAAAAGAGTACTTGAGTCCCTACTCAAGGGAGGAAGAGGTAATGCCTAAGACGCGATGATTATTTACCAAAAGAAATTTAATGAGCATAAATTATATTTTTAGAATTTAGGATTAGAGGAAATCTTTTAATTGGAGGTTTACTAAAAATTTTGTCCAAAGTAGGCAGTAGACTGTTTGATCAAAATTGTGAGAGGTTTGGTTGACGTACGCAACGTGATGGACTCGTTTGTCAGACGCATTTCACCGTCAGTGATTTGGCCATGTGAGTTTTCGTTTGTCGTTTTTATAAGTTTAACTACTGAAGATGGCGAAGTACGCCAGTCAACAATATGCATATTAGTGTAACCTACAACCCACTTCAGCTTATCTTTATTCATATCAGAATGTCTAATTACTTATGGATGTTGTTAATGCAAAGTAAAGTTAACTTAATTACTTTTCCAAGTTACTATAAAATTAAAAACTGGTACAAAATTTCAAAAGAAACTGATTGACAACTTACTTGGATGTAAAACTTTCTGTGCTTTGGAATGGCTTGCGCAAAACGAACTATACAGTTTGAAGTGGTTAACATAATAAAGGAAGGCACTTCCGACTGAAAACAATACGTTCTGAAAATAGAAATAAAAGACACGTTAGAAAACTATAAAAAAATTGAGAAATTTATGTAAAACTAGATATCAACCTTGAATTGATTCGGGTGTTCGAATTTGTTGAAATCCGGCTCCATATCCAAGGCCTCCTCTAGGTTTTGCAAGAATTGCCTCTGAAACGAAACGATTTCCTGGATGTTGCCGAATAGGGCCCCGATTTCTGCCTGAGATAGGAACGTCTCCTTTTTCAACGGCTCCAGATAATTCTCGAGTAGGCTGTTCAAATGCTGGAAAGAAATCGCCAATTGAAAAAAATATTTGTTGTACAGGATGGGGCGAAATAGGGATGCCTTACTTTAACGTAAGTCCTTTCGGTTTCGATGAGTTCCAGGACTACTTTTCTAATCTTCTCAGCGTCCGTTAGCTGTCTGCTCGGTGTTAGCGTGACCTGAGAGCTGACGACGCTACCGGTCGGGCTAGATTTTCTTGTTTCCACGGGCGATCGGCAAAATCCGGTCACCTGCTCTGCCGTCTGGAATGACGAAGCAATAAGAGATATTTCAAAACACGGATGGTAAAAATACAAACAAAAAGGTGAGCAAATCTTAACAGAATCAGTCATAAAACGATTATGTGTGATGATTGATAAATAGAATATAAGAATAATAATAAAATTGTTTATTGTATTAAAGGGGGTAATGCCAGGTACTTATCATTACCTTTTAAAATATAATTTGAAATACAAAATCTTCTTAACATTTTGAAAAACAATACATAAATAAATAACTGCAAACGATCAAAATAAATTGGGTTTAAAAAGATAAATAAAATGATTAGCCTAAACAGATATGTATTTCAGTTACTGCAGCAAGAGTATTAGTATGCTCATTCCGAAAATGCAAAGGCTCTCAACCTTTAAACCCCGGAAAAAAATTAGTTGATTTTTGCTGGTTCAAAACATATTTTCTATATTTTTAAATTAAACTGTGCGTATTTACAAATGAAATGGGTTCTTAGAGGGTTGTATAATGGGCAATCAAAAATAATGTGGTGCAACGGTTCTTCAGCATGGACGTTACAAACTAAATAAATGTCATTTGGATTAATTTTATAAAAACTGCCATTGTAGAATATTTTTAATGTTTCACAATTAACTAGCCTTAACTGATACTAATAAATAACGCCTGGACTAGGCATGGAGTGAAAGAATTGGCTTGGTTTCATTTTTTCTAATTTCAGGACATTTCACATTTGTTATCCGTTTATTTTGTTATAAATTGTTTATTTAGCCTGTTTCAAATAAATATATAATTTAAAATAAATAAATAATCGACAAATGTGAAAAATGAGAAAATGGTGTGAACCGCACAGATTTGGCTTGTTTTCATTGGCTAATTTAAGGATATTTCACATTAGTTATCCGTTTGTTTTGTCAAAAAATGTTTATTCAGCCTATTCCAAGTGAATATATAATTTAATATACATAAGTAATCGACATATTTGAAAAATGGGAAAGTGGGGAGAAACGCCCAGATTTGTCTTGTTTTCATTTGCTAATTTCAGGACGTTTTACATATGTTATCCATTTGTGTTCTTATTAATTGTTTATTCAGTCTAGTCCAGGCGTTAACTAACTGATATTAATAACTAATAACCGTATTTTCTTAATGACTCAACAAAAGAACAAATATTGTTCAGCAGAAGCTAAACTAGATATCATTCTGAACTCAGGGTTAAATCGCGACTTGAGACATTTATCAATGTCTTTTGAATATATTGTTCTTCCACCTCTCAACAATATTTCAAATGTGTAAAGATTGAAAGAAAAAAAAACCATATTGCCCCAGAGTACAATGTATTCCTGATTCATTTATCCAAGATTGTTGATTTTTAAGTGAATTAACCTAGTTTTTGCTCACTTTTTATCATTGTCTTCTTCAATAATACTATATTGAAAGAATCTATGAAGAACGATAATGTTTATGATTTATTAAATTCACTAGTTTCGTGGTCCGTTTGAACAATTAATACCTTACAATTAATTAAGGTTTTCAGTTGAGATAAAAAAGTCAATGGCACGAGCGGGATTTATGATTTATAACAACTCAGTCTGAAAAGATTGGTTTAGGTGTATTAGAGAATTTTTTTGTACGTTTCCGTGAGAGCAGAACACAAAACGATGGTAGCTTTTTAAAATTTACATACCTTCAGAAGGTTTTCAATTTCGAAAGAGTTGGCCCTCGACGTCTGCTTGGGGGCAGGTTCGCTGGACGAAGGGGCCGGCGAAGATTCCGGCTCGGCGTACAGCTCCTTGCCTGGAACATTGACGAATTGGTGAAACCAGACGAAAAGCCTGAGGGCGGCGAACATGCCGCAAGTTCCATAAACGGGAGTCTCAGCCGGAAACAGGGGAGACGGGAGTAAATGGGGCGAAGGAGTCATCTCCACGATTTGACTCACCTTGAATGAAAATAGTGGGGGCCTCGGAGATTAGCGAAACTAGCTTTATGTCGGAGGATTAAGTTAACAGAAATAACGTTATAATATTCAATTATAATTTTTACACTTTTTAGGGAGTCAGTGACATTTTCAGAGTTATCCAGATTGAACTGTCCGTCTATTTTCATTCTATGCATATTTCAGACATATTACGCTTTTGTGTCAAATTCATTGGTCGTCTCTGTATAATATTTCGTTATATTTGTCCTCTAGATAGATTTGATAGGGTGAGTCAGGTGGGAGAAAATTGTAGTCTCGTGTAGGTTTTGGTTCGACGACTTCGCGATTAAATTAGTTTTTGTGGGCCTATGGTTTGCGTTCGTTTCCGTTGTGTTGTTTTTATTTTATTTAAGTAACTGATGTGCATGATTTGCTGATTTGTTTTATGTTCTTATTTGTGTTGCGTTTGTTCAGTTTAGTTTGTTCATGCAGTAAGACTTGTATCAGCTAAAATGATATTCGTGTATTTTTCTCCTTTGTTAATCTCAGTTCTATGTCCGATTTTAATTTGTTTATACGCTTTTATGTCGGTTATTATTGTGTTCTTCGTTTGTTGTATTTAAACAGTTTAGTTTGTTGGTACGGTGTCTTTTTAACTCGGTTTAACAATAAATTATAGTGTTCTGCAATCTAACATTTTTCATTTTGTAGGTGTTTAAGTTATTTGCTTAATCTGTATGTATGGTTGATACTCTTTTGTTGACATTTTTTTGTATTTTGGGAAATGGGATTATTTAGGTAGTTTAGCTTGATTACATGCCTTGTAAACAGATTTTTATTGCCTGTTCGTTATTTTTTGTTCTTTCACACAACGTATGCCCTTTGTAACCTATTATGTGAGATTTTTGTTAGTTTCTACATTTCTATTTATGTTTAACCTCACCTATATCTATCTTGTGTAGATAGTAAAATATGCTCGGTTATATAATGTTCTGTATATAATATTTTTGCTGTTTATATTCTTTGTCGATTAGTTTTAAGGTCTGAGTGTAATGATTTATTTTGAGACAGCTTAATTTGTTGATATCATGTGATTTACGTTAGCTAAAGTTATATGTGTGTATTTTTTCCTCGTTGATCTCGTTTTTATAGTTGTTTGTGTTTAGATAATTTAATTTTAAGTTGTTTTGTACTGTTTATATTTTTTTGTTGGTTAATTTTATATTCTTAATGTCTTGCGCTGCGTTTAGAAAATTTAGTTTGAGGCGTGAAATTTATAAGCTAAAATTATATTCATGCATTTTTTCCTTTGTATGTCTCACTTTTATGTTTGTTATTATTTTATATTTTATACAAGTCTTTTTGGTACAACTGCTGTGTGTGTAATTGAAATTTTTCTATGGACAGATCAAGATAATTCTGAAGCTGTAAGTTTTTTCGAAAGTTTAAATTTTGGTTAATATTTTATCGAGTTGAAAGTTAAATTTGATTCCTTGTTCTTTCCTAACAATAAAAAAAAATCCGTTCAAACAATTGTTACCTAGACAACGTTATACATGAAGTCGGTGATAAAATCCATTTTATTATGATAAGGCAATTCGAATACAGGACTGACAATTGCACATAATTTTGCCAAGTTAACGGTGTTGGAGGTCCATTTCAAATTAGATACAAATGTTCTCGAGGCCATTTACGACCAGCCATAAGGCTTTTACGACATCCTTTATGCTAATATAGATTCAGGTAAATTTTCTTTTGCCCACTATCCCAAGTTACAGCGTTTCTAGTATCATAATGAATGCTGTAAAACAGACTGTCGTTTGAGCCTAGAAAACACATCGAATATACATGTGTATATTTCGTAGCGTAAAATTAAATTATTGAGGGTACTAGAGAATTCAATATTATTAAATAAATACAATTCTAACTCGTACAAAAAGTCTTAAATATAACAATAAAATGGTGCCAGGAAAAGGGTCAAAATATGAACACCTCCAAGGCAATAATCGTGCCATTATCCGGAAAATGGCTCTAACTCCTATGTTTTACCCATCGAAATCAAGAACTAAGCATTCCAACGAAGTTACATATCTAGTGTCGTTCTCGATCAAACATTAACCTGATATGCATATTTCAAGATAACCTACAACTCGTTTTAGCTTTAAACCTTGAACCTACAATACATCTTAAACCTATGCGAAAGGACAGCATTCCAAAGAATTTTCATACATACTTAGAAGTAGTTTACGACCAAAGGTGAACGTCATGCACACTTCAAGACAATCAACGACGTAACACTATAAACTCAATGGATATGCCAAAGGACTTAATAAAGGAGCTTATCTAGCTAAAAAGGAAAATTGCATGGGTTATCCCGGGGTTCGAACCCAGCAACGGTAGAACAAATACGAGTCTGACGCCTTAATCACCCGGCTCCCTCGGTCCTCAGATTTCACCATATTTTTTCATGCGAAAGGATCAGTATTCTTCACACTTAACTTCTAAATATGAACAATTTTTGTGGTATACTGACGGCTCAAAAAATAGGGTCATGGTACGGGAACGAGTTAAAGAGGCATAAAAGGGCTCCTAGTTACTAACACCTCACTGTTCCGGGCTCTACAATTTTCTTTCAAGCTGAATTACTAGTCATAGAAAGACGTGCACATGAAATCAATAAAAATCAGACAGCCAGGCTGTTCTAAAAGCTTCACGACTATGAGATCAACTCTAAACTAGTCTGAAACTGCCTAAATACCATAATAATCTTGGATCCATAGATAGAATTCGCCGGATTTCACGGTCATGAAGGAATTTTTTTTGAAGCAGTAGACACCCAAAGAGAAGATGAAGCCTCGGAAGAATTCATAAGCCTAAATCTATTTTGAGGTATAAATGAGACCCACATTAATGAAAAACTGGTATCTTGGGCCAGTAAAGAACTCAAGAAACAATGTGAACGAAGGCCAGGCGCGAGGCCAGCAAAACGACACTCGCCAAAACAACACAATTAGAAAATACGAAATCTCAGATCACAGAAAGGAACTATAAGTTTACTACTTGTTGTTTTTCCTAGACAACGTCCTAAGTAACCGCTATAAAAAAGCGAAGAAAAAGACTATGGTAACTAGAAAAGCCATAGTACATAACAATGTAGATCAATCCCATACTTTGAAAGGAAAGAAAATTTTCCAGGAAAGCCATTAGGTAGCTCCAACATAATAGACGAAAGTTTACGTGCAAAAAGGGAAAATCTCTACGACTCCCACGATCATGCAGATGTTTTGTACATTCTCCTAGAATTATTTGGTTAAATATGAGCTCCATAATTGTCACAAATTTTTAACATTAATTAAAAGAAACTACTAGACGTTTTCAAGGTATGAAGAAAGACATAAAATAGTAAAAAATAAGATTTTTACTGAGTTAACATACCACAACAGAGATTATAACCTGATTTATAAGCTTTTGTTTTTATTTTATTTATTTTTTATGTGACACTTACTCCATCCAGGCGCAGGGACAATGAGATCGGATATCATTTCCTCGGAAATGACAGGCGGTTCAGAAGGAGGCGGGGGGCAGACGAGTGATTCGATATCCACATCGGGCCTAAGAAGTCCTGCTCCCATCTCTGGCGGTTCTGTCCTCGATGATCTCATCATCATGCAAAGCGACAGCTCTTCTTGAAGAACGGACTCGAGGTACATCATGTCCAAGTCGGACACTATGGCACCGTTGATCACCATTATTTCATCCCCTTTTATCAACCCTGTTAAAAAAAAGTTCATGCCAAAAGATTAGAATAATAAAATAAATGCGTAATTTGGATATATTTTTTTTGTTGTGTACTTTTTTCGTAAGCCATAAACATTTATTATTTCAACTTTCTTTCGTTATAAAAAAGAAGAAGTCGGCACCAATTCGACCTTTTGACGATATCAGCTTCACATGCATGAAGCTTCGTTATCTCTGATTAGCTTTTTTATTAGCTAAGCAATGATAGGAAGATGGTACTCCGAGAAATAATAAAGGTTTAAGATATATGAATTTTTTATTGGTCAAAGATCATGATATGAGGCATGAAGAGGTAAAAAGCGCAAGCTTATGTTGCATGCAGCATTCAAAATTTGAAAGTTCATACAAAGAAATTTTCATTTTTCTGAGCATGTGGATATGAGCTTTAGTATGTCGACTATTGACATGTTATAATGATAATGATATGATGATGACGAATGACGTGCTGATTGTGAAACAATTTCGATTCAAATGAAAACTGAAAAAATGTTAGGGAATATGCGCAACTCAGTTCGATCAAACTACATGAAAATACTTTCAGTTCGGTACATTATAACTGGGCTCGTTTTTTCCTTTGAAAAGAGCAACTGAATGTTTAAATTTTAGCCATATTTTCATGGGGAAGTAACAAAAATTAGAGGGATTAGACTAGCCTTGATAAAAACTGCCCTGTCCTAATTAAATTGTCTCTGGGCTTATGCCCAATCCCACCTATTGATTCTCAGGGACATTCCACGTTTTAAATGGATTAAACGGTATTGGCTGTAAACATAGAAACCGATCTAGAACAATGAAAAGCAACTCGTATTGACCTGTTTTTTAATTGCATTAGGAATATCAATCTAAAGATTTTGAATTTTTTTGACCGCAAGTTTTAGAAATTCTTTACGAATATAAATATCACCAACAAATGAGAGTTGTTCTACTATGAAAACCATCCCGTATTTTATTAACAAATTAGGTTTTCCAAGGATTAAGTACAGAGGGTAGTAATGATGAATACTTACATAGCAAATGATATTCTTATAGATCGCGCATATTAATTATCAAACCGTATACAAATTTCTTCTTTTTAATAACGACTCTTTTACCTCAGCATACCTAGGCATACCTGGAATATACACGATTGAGCTAAGGTTACTACAGCTCCCAGAGGTAGACGTACCGTTGTGCAGGGCGACGCTCTTGTCTTCGACCCGGCTGACGTAGCAGCAAAGTTCGTCCTGCCTGTCAGCATTTTCTATCAGTTCAGCCTCTACCGAAAAGCCCCACATATGCTCCAACGAAGTTCTTTGGAGTTCCACTTGGTATAGGATTTTAGCACAAACTTCCACAACTTCGTGGGTGTGTAACTGTAAATTTTGAAAACGCGGATTTTCAATGTCGTTTTAATTGGGAAAATAAAAATAAATATTTACGTAAGTATCAATCATGTCTGATCTATGAGGTACGAAATAGTTGTGGTCTTCCATATCCCTCCTTTTTTTTACTCTTACAAAATGTTCCATGGCGTTTAAACCTTTTCTGGCACACGCACCCGCCAAGAATTCTTCAACTGTCATACCCTCTCTCACATACACGTTTACGAACTGAAAATAAATATTTTTACAACTCAATATTTAAATAACGATTGTTAAAAACAACATAAGACACTCGCCTGATTATCAGGAACGGAAACTTTAACGGATTTGTCCGGCTCTTCCCTCGACATTTGTAGAGAACGACGCGAGGATCCTGAATTGGACCTGGAGAGCATCGGAGGTCTTCTTTTCGTCGCTCCTCTCCCCGCGAGCAAATTGTTGAGGAGACTTGGCGATCTGGCGCATATAAACGCGTGGAAAGAAGACACCGTGAAAACTCCCAATTTGTTCAGAGTAGACTTTGTCGCTCTGGACACGTGCGTCAGCAGACTCTGAAACGACAAAAACACCGATCAACTTTCAATATATACCAATTAATTATTCTTTTCATCTAAGGTTTTTGGTTGAGATGAAAAATTAGCATCACGACGGGATTCGAACCCGCGACCTTCGGCTTAATACGCCGCTGCTCTAACCACTTGAGCTACCGTGACTTTGATCTCTCGGGAAATCTCAACCTGCAACCATTCCAATTTCACCTGTTTTTGCCATTTTTTCAAGCGGGTTCGAATCCCGCCATTACACTAATTTTTCATCTCTACCAAAAACCTTAGATGAAAAGAATGATCATATTAATCAGGTCAATTATGGCCAATAAACAAATATGGATTAATTTCAATGTATATTTTTTAACACATCCCTCTTACCTTTGGATTTGGCAATTCGCCGTTCTGCAAGCTTGCCATGTAACAACGAAGCCTGAATTGCTCACAGTGCAGCCGTTCCAAATTTTCTTCCCACTGCAGAATCTGTTGTGAAATTTGACTCTTGGTTTCCTGGTCCGAGACCACGCTCAACTGAAGTTCAGCCATATGCTTCAATTTGTGATCCTTAAATTATTATTAAGCGGTATTTTTTTCAATTCATAATGTTTTACATAAATTATGAAATATTGTATAATTATCAAAGTAATTAAGAACGTTTGATTGCGAGATTATCTATTGAGGTCTGCGAGGCGATGAACGATAATTTGATCGTTTCTGTTAATTTTTGTCCCTCTAACTTGGCTGTTTTGGTCTGGTAGCAGCTTTCAGCATTTCGCCATCTACAGTGTGATTTCTGTCAAGTCAAGACTTTTTTATAATGTGCGTGTATGTGTGTGTGTGTGTGGATTAAGTGTTTTTTTGCGATTGCGAACGAGGGTTCGCAATAGCAGGTCATATAAACCATCAGGGTGCCGGTGTTTTTGAAAGAAAAGCCCATTTGAAAGTATGTCCGGTTCGAATGCAGGGCCGCTGGAATCGAACCCGGGTCCTTTACCTTAGAGTGATGAGCGCCGTATCAACGCCTAAACCGTTGGGGACACAGACGTCCCTATCGTATATTTATTGTTCAGTTCTTGTCCGTCCATTTTCTTTTTAAATAGTATAGTGTTTTCAATAATGTAAACTATGTATAATTGTATACGAACTGTTGTTAATTTGTGAGTTGTTGTGTTTTTTGAATATTTCCTACTTTAGTAATTTTTTGGAAATTTAGTACGTCGTTTAGTCGTTTCATCCTTGTCTGTATTGTTGAAGCTTTGTTACGATATTTATGAGTCAGGTAAATTTATTTTTCTTGTCCTAAAATGATTTTATATTTTCTTTGTACATGTATTTTATTTTTCGTCCTCTGTGATTTTTTTACGCATTGGTCTGTTATGGCAAGATTAGTGGCTCCGAGTGCTTAATGGTAGGATTTTTTTTCCGATCATAAAATTATGATAACTTGTTATAATCTTTTGTCAGGATTTTTGTAAATTTGCCGAATGGCAAAGAACGCACAGACCAACTGCAGAGCACGACAAAAAAGGCCGAATTAAGCGAGATAATTAAACTGGCCATAAGGTGATCATGTTCACATTTATCACCTCGCACCCATCACCAAAAGTTTTAACTATTTGATAATTGTTTAAATATTTATAAAAAATGATAAAAATATCTGTTTTACACTTATAAGGAAAGGATATAACACAAATGCAGATGTTTTAAAATATTTTTTGTTTGTCAATCTTTCATTTATACATCTAAACTCAAGTGTGTTATTAATTATTCTTTTCATCTAAGGTTTTTGGTTCTAAATTCCGCTAAACCAAAAACCTTAGATGAAAAGATTAATTAATTGGGTGGTCAATTATGACCACTAAACAAAAATGTGTTATTAATGTTGTTTGTGATGTTTATAAACATTAGGTTGCGTCAAATTTGTCATAAATTTTTGCCCTGTTTATATAAATGAATAAAATCTGTTTGATGTTTTTGTTTAGAAATACAGAATGACGATTTGATATTGTTGGTGGTACTTGCCAAGATTAAATTATATGGCGGTGGACTGGAATTATCGTTTGAATTGGATTTAGCCTGAATGGACATTTTGTCGATTTCAACATCTCTTAGCTTGTAATTAAACAGAGAATTGATTAGCGGTGCCCAGTGCGATATCCATGGTTATGCTGTGCATTCTATTTAATGTCAGTATCGTTTGTGTGAGATTCTAAGCCTAATTGCACAATTACGAGAAAATTCGTAAATTGAAATCTACCGAGATGCAATATAAAGAGTATCGGGGAAGAGCGTTTCATCCAATTAGAGCCTCAGGCTGCCCGTTACCAATTTTTACCACCCACGAACCCTTTTCCTGAATTAAACATTTCCAAGGAAAACTCTTTCCCGGCACCTCCTCACCGTGGAGTAAACAAAGCCGTAAAATAATAAGTGGCTATGCATCGAGTGAGGGCACAAAAAGAAAATGCCCCTTTCATTAAGTCCCCATCCAAGTTGATACTGTTCTTAATAAGCCGAAGGGGAAAAGAATAGCGTTTAAGCCTTTCTTTGTGAAACCCCTTAATTACTTTTCTAATCTAGCCACAAGATTTCAACTTCATTAAACCTAATACTTACTGCCTCTATGGCTTTTTCCAGTCTGAATATTTCCTCCTGGAGCAGGTGCAAGGTGCCTGTTTTCCCCCTGTGTCTCGCAAACGCTGCTGCACACGCTGAATGAATGCTGTTGACCCAGTTTTCCAATTCGACTTGGCATGGGGCCTGAAATCAATAGAAATGTTTCAGGTATACTGCAATAAGTGAAGAGGAAACCTATTGAAAAATTATTATATAATTATCAACATTGAAATATACTATATACTTATGAACTATCTGTTATTAGAAAAAGTGTCAAGTAGAATTTTGTATTCTGATCAGATCGGATGACAGCAATACACAAAAATTCCTATTGGATTACATAATCCTGACCCACATTTTAGGCCGCTGTATACTTCTGAATATGAAACAACCCTTGTGGTGAAGATCAAACTTTTTTTCTCAAAGACAAAATTGTCAATTTTCAATAACTAATTTGTAAACGGAGCTTTATACAGGGTGTCCTTTTTAGATGGCTCGGCTGAATTTCTCTTGAACCAATAACGCTATAAAAATATGTGTTTAATATTTTTTTGTATAGTTTCAAATTTTTGCCTTGTTTTGGAGAAAAATCATACATGGTACCTCAGGCCCTATTCAACTTTGAAATTTTAAATATGACCCTATATGTACATCCTGACAAATCATTTTAAAGGATATTTTACGCTGAAAAAATGGTACAATCGGATTTTAAATTGGTCACCAAATGGCAAAGTTATGGCAAAAGTTTGAAAAAACCAGTCATTTGGTTTGCTATTTATTAATCACATTTCGAATTGCCTGCCTTGCATAAAGTGCAAAGATTTGATCTTTTAAACCACTGTTCACTGGTACTCAAAGCGATGGATTCAGGAGAGATGGATTGACAAGAATTTCCTATATTTTGCCGCAGGAACCCAACTGAGATTTTGGTTTATGATAGGCGTAGACACTGTTTTTTTAAATGGCCTCACAGAAAATAGTTCAGTGGAGTTAATTCGGGTGATCGAGGAGGCGAAAAGATCAGACCATGAGGTAATATCCACCTACCCAGTGACGATTAAATAACGTCTCACGCCGCAAAGAATTGTGTGCGGGCATCCAGCAAGCTGGAGAATCTTTGTCGTTGTAGCAGAGGAACATCATCTAATAGTGTTGGTAAAACTTCCCTCAAAAAGTTGAGGAACTGACAACCATTTAAATTATTTTCGTAGAAATAAGGCTCAATTAATATATTTCCGAGAAGTCCACGTTGATACTGTGAACCACCTGATGATGATAAGAGTACAAAATTTTCAGATTTTCCTCTGTCTGCGTTTGAAAATTAAACGGTATACCATTGAAGGTTAACATGGATTTATAAGTCCATAGGATGTATAGGAGAACGGCTTAAAAATGTAAGTCCGGAGTACATCTTTAATTTTATTTGTTGAAAAGCCTAAAACCCTTCCAACATTTCGGAGAGAGAAAGTCGGATTTTCGCGAACATACGCGGAAAATATTCAGCTCCTCATCGGAATTACGCTGCAGGTTTCTTTTTGCCCTAACTTTGTCATTTTTTGACCAATTTAAAATCCGATTGCACAATTGTTTACAACGTAAAAAATCCTTTAAAATTGTCAGGATGTATAGGTTCGTATTTGAAATCTTAATGATTATTTGGAGATTATGAGATGCGGTCTGGTGTGACGTAGAATTTAGAAAAACAATTTCTTTACCGTGCCAACATTTCGATCTTTATTGAGATCATCTTAAGGCCTGGGATTTATAAACATTGTTTAAATTTTACAAATACATGTAGGATGTGGAAAAATATGAATTTATACAATGCCAGAAATTTTAGATTCAATCAAAGTATTTGTACTCACTCCAAGTGTTTGTTTTCTGTGTAGATGTGTCATTACTGTGTGTTGAGAGAGCCAGTGAGATATTGAAGTTTTATGTTTATATACGTTGGATTTTGAAGGGGAGGGGAAGGAAATAGGGATAGAAAGACATTTTTATATGAGGAGTCGGCTTCTTTGAAGTGAAAGGAATAAAGGAATAGGAAAAAATGGGTAATAGTTTGGCTGATTGTCTTTTCAGGATTATATTGACGTGGATAATTAGGGAAAGGAAAGCCAAATTGTTGAAGAATTAGACTATGTAGAAGTGTTTGATGTGTGGAATGTAATAATTGTTTTATATGTCATATTATGTTTTTTGTGATGTGATGATGATATATGTATGTTATCGACATTGAATTTGATTAATGATATTAGCGTAGAAGATTATCTCTATAAAGATCGAAACGTTGTCACGATAAAGAAACTGTTTTTCTAAAACCTACGTCACACTAGGCCGCATCTCACGATCTCCGAATAATCATTAACTAACGGTCACTAAACATCACACATTTCTGCACAAAAAGAATGAAAGTTTAATGTAGAACTGGGTCTGAGGTACCCTGTGTAACGTTTCTCCAAAAAAAGGTAAAAATTTGAAAGTAGACTTAAAAATATTAAAACGTATTTTATTTATAGCGTCATTGGTTCAATAGAAATTCAGCCGGTCCATCTAAAAAGAACACCCTGTGGTAATAAATGGTGTGCTGAGACGACCGTATAGGTTTCGTTAATATCTCGGTAGATTGACAAAAGTGTTGAGAAATCGACCAGTTTTTGTTAAATATTAAAAATTGAAACTTTGACGGCTCCAATGACGCTCAAAAATATGATTTATTTGTCGCGCGTTTATGATTGATACGCCGCCTTTTCATTTAGTGATGGATCATTGATGGATTGGGGGGAAGGCTAAGTGCAAAATAAACCAAGGGTAGTAGAATTAGGGAGAAATTGAGGTAGACGTCTGCCGAACTAAAAGTTGAACCCGCCCCCGAAAAGTTTTACAATTCCAGGTGATATCACTTTAATTTGATTTGTAGGAAAAAATGCAATTTTTAAAAATGAAAATAAAACTTTTGAAAATTCAACTAGCCGTTTTTCTTTAAAGATTGAACGTACGTATAAATCAACGGAAGAAGGAAATTTGGAAACTTGAATCTGAACTTGAAAATAATCCTTTGTTTGCATTTCCTGAAAGATTTATTGAGATTTGAGGATAAGCCTTGTAATTTATTATGATTAGAGGTTATAAGTTAAACACTTGGGAAGGGTTCAACTATTATATCTAACTTCTTGTAACATTTTCATGAGTTATATCAATAATCTAGTAAATATAGAATAATCGGGCTACATTTGATTGTATAGTTCTTATTCTCTTCTTTTAGACTTCCTGTTAAGAACAAGCGTGAAGATTCCGAAAGCTCTCAAACAGCTTCTAACTCAGTTCAACATTCGTCGTTGCTTCCAAGTTAGATTGAAGTTACGTTTCCATTAGCCGTAAAGAAGCTGATCCTTAGAGGGCTTGGCAGAGGGCATCCCCTGTTTCACAGGGATTACGGCTCCGTGCCATCCCCGCCATCCATTTCTTCCCCTTTCAACCGAGTTTCGTCTTCTTACAACATCCCTAGTCCAGGCTACACTTTGCCGAGTTGTAATCCTTGCCCTTCGTCGTACGAAAACCACCCCTTTCTGATAAATATGCAATAGGAGTGTTCCTTGTTCATAGCATTAAAAATGAGTATTACAAGTTTTTTCTGTATTAATTTGGCAATAAATTTTCCATATACATCAACCGAAAAACGGACTGTTAAATATTTATAAACCTGAATAAATTATAGAGGTATTATTAAGAGTATCTCTCTTCCGAGTATATAATTTTGCTAAATAACTCATCTATTTTGTATAAACGGTTAAAAAAGAGAAATTTACACATAAAAAACTTAAAAAAAATTTGTATTTTCTGTTTACGTCTGCAGCAATTGATCGAAAAGTACAATTGGCACAGTGGCGGCAGTCACTATTGATCCTACTTCTTATACCCGAGATGCTCACCGGGATTACGAAACAAATTCAATTCTATCGAAAAATTAGTGGAGAAAATATAATTTAGATTGCGCGATACAAAAGGACGAAATCACAACTTGTAAAAAAAGCATTTCACCCGGAGATCACGTCATTGGTGTAAATCCGTCATGGACAGCTTCCCGAGGAATAAGAAAACGGCCAATTCAATCAAACGAAACCGTAATATATCGTTGGTGAGGTGGAAAAATTGTTTCGATTGATTTGGGACGTGTAGCTCACCCACAGAGCCTTCCGATCTGCTCCAGTTCAATTTAAGCAAAATAACATTCAAGTAAATGGATAAAGTTAAAAACCTTCAGGATTTTTTGGTTGAGAAAGAATTACATACTTGTAATTACCAACCAACTTTATATAGCTTAATAATTCTCTAACGTTCTCTTCTACTTTAATATTCTCAACGATAATTTCAAAGTGTTTCTATGCTATTTCGTAGCCAGTTTGAAATATTATCTATTCAAGGCCATTAAATTATTTATTTAGAAGTTCATAAGACCTTTTGGGAGGTAGGTTTTTATCTGACTATCTAAAAAAATCAACAGCATATTTAAATCCTATATATTTTCTGTGATTGAATGTATAAAAAAGACATAAAGGCCTAGAAATGCACAGTCAGCCAATGAGGATGACGAAATGCTGATCATCTGATATTCCTATTTTCACTGAAATAATCCATTCGAAGTTTAACAGCAAAATTTAATTTGTTTTTATTAGAGTTTTAAAGAAGCAATTTTTGAGAAAAAAAAAATGAACAAAACGTAAAACATGATGAGGTGGATTTTTTAATTTTTTATGAATAGTTGAATAAGGTCGATGCATAGGGATTTTGGGTAATTATTTTTATGCAATATGTTTTTTATTTTCTTTTATTTCCTTCCCAATACCTTTCATTGCTGATTGACAGCACCCTAACCGGCACTCTAAACAACCTTATTCAACTATTCATAAAAAGAAAAAATCCAGTCGTCGTGTCCGGATATTATGGGGGGAACAAACATAAAAACAGCTTATCGGAATATCAATAAATACTTTAACTTATGTATCTAACATTTCTGAGAAACTAAAAAGGATGTTTATTACGTTTGCTCCGAATATTCTGCTAACTTATAAATATTGTAACAAAATATCACAATTACACTCAAACGTGAAAAGTAAAGAAAATAGGGAAAACCAAGCACCAAG